TCTCAGTCTCTGTCCTCGGTGCTGCCACCACTCCAGCCTAATTTCTGCTCTCCTGCAGCCTTGCAGCTGTGCCACTGTGTCGCCCAGAGCACTGGGCGGACTCTTTATATAGAATCAATAGCAACGTATTGCCCACAGGTGTGTAGCGAGCTATCCGACCAGGGCCAGGTGAGAATCCTGGCCACAGGAGCCTTCACTTTATCCATAATGTCTCTCAGCAGCCCATGAGGTAGGTAGTTTATTATCCCCATTTTAAAGATAAGAAATTGAGGCTCAGTGAGGTTGAGTTGCCAAAGGCCAAGGCTTGTAAATGATGGGATACAAAATCAGGTGTCAGTCTCCAGAGTTCCATTCTTTTAACCACTGGGACTGGTGGCCTAGCAAGGGAGGAAGAACTTTCTAACAGGTAAAACTGGTTGCTTTAGGGGCAGAAACTGTCTCTCTTCTCTTTCAGGTTCTTTGGCTGGTGTAATAATTAAATTGATGTAAGACAGATAAGAGGAGAAAAACAAATTTAATTTTGTATGATGGGACCCCTAAAAATATGAGGCTCAATGATGTGACTGGCACAGGAAACTTTTGTACCTTTTAGAGGAAGAGTAATACATTTGTGATGAATTGGAAAGACAAAGGAGCCTGGGCTGAGGCTAGGCAATTGGTGAAGAAGTAGCACAGTTGCTTATTCAACCTTCTCAGCCCTAATTCCTTATTTCGGGTGATAAGGAGGCCTTTCTTTCTCCTGGTCCAGGAAGGTAACTTTCACAGAGAGATTTATGTCCTGCTTTCAGGGGACTAGTTGTTCCTTGAGTACCTTTAATTCAAAATAATCAGTAAGACAAAGAGGCATATTTTGTGGTGGCATATTCTGCTCCCCTTCACTGGCAAGAGGAGGGTGGGGTTCTTGCAAACACAAAGAATGGAAGTGAAGTATTTATATTGGGTGTGAAGTCTTATATATTTGGAGGACAGCCCAAGCTCAGCTCTGATAATCTCTGCTATAGGAGCTAAAGTCAGACATACCATGGATATCTTCATTATTCACAGATTCTGTGTTAGTGAACTCACCTACTCGCTAGAATTTACTTGTAATCTGAAAATCAGTACTCAGAATCAGCACTTTCACGGTCATTTGTGGATGTGTGCATTTTGGAGAAAAGTCTGAGTCTCTTGTTCCCAGCACAGGTCAAACAAGATGATGCTCTGCCTTCCGGTTTCAACCCTCATACTGTAAATAAGTGTCTTTTTCACAGTTTATTTAGTGCCACATTTTTTCTTTTGCACTCTTTTGCTTCCTGTTGGTGATTTTGCTGTTTAAAATAACTCTCAAACATATGCTGAAGTGCTGTCTAGTGTTCCCAAGGGCGAGAAGGACATGATGTACCTTACAGAGAAAATACGTGTATTAGATGAGCTGCATTCAGGCATGAGCTATGGTGCTATTGGTTGGGTTCAGTGTTAATGGATCAACAATACATATTAAATAAGAGACCTTTAAATGGAAATATACATAAAATAAAGTTATGTATTGATTGGTTGAGGAAAATATGACTAGAGGTTCTCAGGAACCAAACATTGCTTTTCCCCTAGGAGCAATGGTTCAGTATTTACTAATTCAATGTTTGCAGTGAATTTATAGAACATAACTACACAAATAACAGGAATTGGCTGTATGTAGCCTTAAGCTGAAAAATACACATTTTTCAGTGGCAGTAGGAGGAGACTTACAAAATGTGTTGCACCATAGAGAAAGTGTGCTGACAAATTCGGTGCATCTTTGTGAGTAATAAGTGGCAGGAGTATACTTGACGATGTAGAAAATGGTGGGCTTAGGAGACACTCAAGAAAATTCCCTGTATTAAAGTGATCTGATTTAATTTCAGTCATGCAGAGGACTCAAGTGGATTGCAAAAGCATTTGGAAGACACTTGGGTGTGAAGGACTAAATGAGTGGGAAGAAAACCATGTGGGCTGGTCTGAGAAATCTAGGTTTGAATTCTTTGCCCTTTATTCTTTGGGTTGTCTTGAAACTCTAGGAGAAAAACCCTCTTTCCCACTGTTTCTCTTTCAGTGTCACTTTAACTGCGCTGCTGGCTGTACTAGCCATGTTGTTGATCTTTTCTAGTTGAATAATTGATTGATTCAGGGCTTATTTGAAACTTTTGCCTTGCTTCTTCTTTTCAAAAATTTGGATCAAACTTTTGAGGTTTAATCTTGAGTAACGGAAAGTGCATCTCTCTGATGATCTGGAGATAAGAAAGGGGTTCTCTCCTGCATCCCCTCCTTGCTTCTGTAGATGACACCCTGGGCTCATTTTCCAGTCCTATCCCTCCATTTCCCCAGAAAGGGGCTCCCCTGAGATGGCATCACGTGTAAGCCTTGTCCCTTACATGGTCTCTCCACAGAGCCGCAGACCCCGATCTAGTGGGGTTTCTAGTTCTCCCCAGGGTTTCTGAATCTAGAGTGAGAAACATTCTACATTTTAAGGACCCATAACTTTTAAGTAACTTTAAGTTCTATGAGGGTTCCCTTTGAAGCTGTGATTTCATCTCTACTCTGATCATTTCAGTCGAAGTATTGAAAAAGAAGAATTATTTTAATAGAAGGTCTTCTAAGTCTTCCCAGCATGTTCCTCTGTGGAACAGAAATGGTCTCTGCTGCAGAAGCTGTCACTCACAGCAGCTGAAGCGGGCACACAGGGAAGCGGGGAGACTGGGGCAGCTGGGGTGCTCAGGCAGGGCTTCACATCTGTAAGGGGCAAAGTATTAAACTGTGAACAATGAGCAATTTATAGTTAACAATAGTTTTAATAAAATTAAAAAAGGAGAGCTTCAAGACACTGTGACCTGCCAGGTCAAACAAATAAACAAACCTCAAATCCCAAACCCCAGAGCAGGATGGGTGTGCCTATAGACAGGGGCAGGTGATAGAGTCTAGTTACTTTGCCCAGATACGTCTGGGAAGGGTGATGCCCCCACTCTCTTCCCATCTCTGGGTTCCATAGCTGGGTTCCTTGGGAAAGGAAGTTACTTCCCCAAGATCAAATAAGTGGTAAGGTCCCTCCTTGGGGCCCTATTGCCCCACTGAGAACACATGGGTTCTTAGAGAGGGTGTGAAAAATATTGGCTATTACAATGGTTTGGGGCCCTCCAAATGGCAACAGTTTATGAACACATATAAGTATACCTGTTGTATTAAAGTTACACAAGAGGGGAATGATTGGGGAAAAGATGTCTAAAAAGGCTACTGAGAGGAGACAAAATTGCAAAAAAGTCTGAGAAACACTGTGCTGGGCATATTTCTCTGGCAGCATCTTTTCATCCATGAAAACATTATTTCAAACATCTCGTGTGAAATCATGGACCCCCTGGTACAGATTTGGCTCCCTCTAGAGTGTGAAACATAATTTTCCTACAAACAGAGAGTAACCAGGCATCAATATTTGATTTAATTCTTTAATGAGGGAACCAGCAGGGTGACTGGAGCGCTGGTTCAGAGTATTGGAAGGAGAAGGATTTGTGGGGTCCTTAGGGAAGTGGGGGGCCCAACCAGATGACCAAGCAGATATATGACTAACCTTCTACAGTGCAGGGAAATCAACAGCTTTGGGGGTCACATTTCTACCAGGTCCTAAAGTCAACACAACTTAATTTCTGCAGGTTAATTTCTAACGGTACAGGGCTAAAAACTATCTGCAATCTTATTGTGAGTTGTTAGCCAAATACACTGTGACAGTTCCTGGGGATGTCAGGGGAGGGTCAGGCAGGCTTGTTGGGGACTGCACCAGCATGACTTAAAACCTGAGGCAATTACCCCTCTACCTTCCCGAGTTTGGTGCATGGCTTTTCTTTAACAGGAGTATGGATTTATGATTGTTCTTCCAATATCGCTAATTGAACATCTCTGTGGTGTGAATTCCTGAATAGAGGAGCTCAAATGATGTTCAGCCTTCCTAGATGAAGAATAATCCTAATTTACACATATTTATATCTCATATTAATACTTATTTTGTGCCAGGCATTGTTCTAAGTGCTTTGCAGGTGTAAGTTCACTTTATTTGCACGATGCCATGATGTGTGTATATTAGTTTTCTCTAGAGAAACAGAATCAATGGGATGTGTGTGTGTGTGTGTGTGTGTGTGTGTGTATAAAGAGATTTTTTAAAGAAAGAATTGGCTCATGTGATTATGGAGGCTGGTAAACCCAGATCTGCAATGTGGGCCAGTGGGTTTGAGACTCAGCAGAGCTGGTGCAGATGAAGTTCAAAGGCAGATTCAGGGAGAGTTTTATCCTGCTCGGGGGAGGGTTTGTTTGTTTGTTCTATCCAGGCCTTCAACTGATTGGATGAGGCCTATGCACATTTACTTTAACTATTAAATTGTTAACCTCATCCAAAACCGTCCTGGCAGAAACATCCAGAATAATGTTTGACCAAAAGTTTGGGCACCCTGTGGCCCGGTCAAGTTGACATATATAATTAATTAACCATCACAGTATGGACTATTGTAATATCCATTTCTCTGAGGTGAAGACAGAGGCTCAGAGTAGGGAAGCAACAAGCCCAAGGTCACACAGCCTGTAGGCTTGGGCTCTTAACCTCTCCCTATCAGACCTCTAAAGTACACTGCAATGCTCCTGTGTGCTCAAATACTCCCAGTTTTCTTTGAGCACTTGGAGCCCCCTGCCCTTCTCAGATTGAATCCGCCTCCAGACCTAACAGCCTGTCTTTCAAAATGTTGTATCTTGCCCCCAACCCCCCTCCACCCCCGGTTCTTCCCATCCCACTAAGTGGAGCCCCCTTCCCAGGCCGGCCCTCCAGGCCCTGCACATTCTGGCCAGCCTTCGGCTCTCTCTCTCCCCTACCTCCCCTTCTCACCCTGTGTGTCCTGCTGGGTTGAGGCCATTGCCTCTGTTCCTCTTTCCTTTCCCACTTCCAACTTGCCCTCACTGGGACTTCCTCTTCCCTGAGGGCCTATATAAAAATACCTCCTGTTCATCAAGGTCTACCTACATGAAGCCTTCTTGCTTTCCTCCCTTTGGAAGAAATAAATTCTTCCTGGAAATGTGTTGAGATGCTTAGAGTCTCGATTAGAAGCAAGGATTTGGACCCACAGGGTGAGTCTTACCAGGGACAGGCCAGGGAAGAATGGGCGATGGGGTTGCGTGGGTGACAAAGAAGTAGCCACAGGCGGCTCCGTGGGAGAGGGTGAAAGGCATGAGGGGTGGGCACCGGATGGAGGAGGGTCTGCATGGTCATTGTGCTGAGTTTATCGTGAGGAAGAAGCTTCCCCCCAATGCCCCAGGGAGCATTGATCCCCTCAGCCCATCCCAAGCCCCAGCCCGTCACCACTTCATGGAATTAAGTGTGCATCGTGCTGCACTGCGGCAGCAACCTCCTGGTTCTGGGACTGGGTCCTGCTCCTCTGGGCATTGCCCACACCCTGCTGTGCTCACACACTGTTGGGGAGGCTGGGTGTGATGGGGTGAGGGCATCGGCTGTGTGCAAGCCTGGCTTTACCATCACTGTCTTCAGCGGCTCTTAACAGACCTGAGATGTGTGCTCGGCACACTGCAGTGCCTCTGTGCGTATACGTTGGATGGGTGACTGAGAGTCAGGACAGCAGGAGACAGCATCATTTCCACACACAACACTCCCAGGGGTGTTTTTAGGAGTTCAAAAAGTGTGGGTGAGACCATATTGACTTTTTCATAGAAACTTCCCATCTTGGATACTTCTTACCAGATAGCCCTTCTCTCCAGCAACTGTAGGTTTGAGAGCAGCAGGGTTTTCTTGGGGCCCCTCCACCTTCTCCCGGCTCCCACTGACATCTTCGTTTTCACGCTGAAAATGTGACCTTTAGTGTGTGTGGTCACATACAGGGCTTAGAGTCTTCTCTGGTGAATCATGGTAGCCACCAGTATATAGAGGTAGGTAACATCAGAGGGGCTCGGATGAAATTGTGTGCCACACAGACATACATTAAAGTACATTTATTAATGCAGGTACAAATAAATTCATACCACTCTATCTGGAGCTCAACAAAGCCCCAGTAATCTGAGCCCTAAGGTTCTCCAATCACACCACCCATGTAAGGTTTGGAGACACAGATGCAGTAATAGTGTGGAAATCACTTTCAGTTAATTTTTATATGCATCATACAATTAGAATCCTCTAACCAATGAGTGAATATAGGACCATTTAAGGAACAAGCCCCAGGTACCATTTCTATAGGGAAGGGCCCCTGGACTGGGCCTGTTCAGGTAAGGGTAGAACATCTCTGTTGTAGCAAATCCACTTTCCTGGAATGTCAAGGTTGTATTTGATCATATTTGTGCTTTGGAAAATCTGGTTCTGGCTGCTGTGTGGGGAATGAACTAGAAGGAGACCAGAACCAGTTGGGAAGTTGCTGTATTTTTATTTTTTATAATGTGTGTTTCATTTATTAATATTGCAACTTAACAAATCCTTGCTATTATTTCCCTTTTCTATTGGAAGAACATTTTTTTGAGCACCTGTGTGCTGTAAACACTTCTTCAGGTCAGGGCTGTTTCCCTCTGGGTCCTTGTCCTGGGTCTGGGAGAAGGGCAGGGAGCAGCGGCGTCCTGCATAGCCTGCAGGTGCTCAGTGCAGCGAGTGCGCCTGGCAGGGTCTGCAGGGAGGGCAGAGTGGAGTGGGCAGTCAGGGGATTTAGGGAAAGGCTCCAGAGAGTGAGGACCCCCGATGGCTTCTATGTGTAAATTTTGGGAGAAAGTGTCTCTTCCTGTGGGCAAATTTAAAAAGGGCAACTGCAGCCCTGGGCTATGTAACTTTGGAGCAGAAGTCACTTTTGTGCAGAAAACTTACTGCTTCCCTCAAAAGGGTCATTGTCCTGGTGAGGGCACATGGCTTAGAGCTGGCTGCACAACCCTCACATGCTGAACACCCATGGCTCGGATATACACTTTTCTCCCCGTTTCTGCCTTCCAGCTGGCCATCCATTTATGGGCAAGGTCGGCAGGCAGCTGGGACCGGCTCCCTGGTTTCAGTGGGCTCACAGGTGCACTCAGGTGTCATTTTGGGTCTGTTCAGACCTTGGGGATGACTCAGTACCTTGAAGTACCTGTTCCCAAGGGAAACCAGAGGATTTGGATGATGCTGGCTCTGGCGACAGAAAGTGGGCTCCTCCCACAGCATCTTCAGTTTCATCTTTGCCAATTGCCTCCACGGGCCCATGTCATTCAGGGGCCAACTAGTAGGAGCTAGCATTCAGGGCTTTCAGCTGTTCACTGGCAATGCCATCCAAAAAATACCAGGAGATGGGCCAGAGGCTGAACCTGGGAGGAAGGTGGTGGTGGGCGTGGACGCTGGGAGAAGGTTTGGGTAGAATCTGGGGGGCAGGCAGGGAGGGGAGGTGGTGGAAGCTGGGAAGGTTCATTCAAATGCCAGAGTCACAAGGAACAGGCTCTCCTCTGAGTTGTTCTAGGGTTGCTTGCTGAAAGGTCGCCAGCCAGGTAACTGGTAAATTACCCCTCTGTTCCCTCCCTGGGAACTTAGCAGGGACCCATGTTGCAGCCAGTCTGCCTTAGCAGAGGTTAAACCGCCCCCAGGTCTCTCTGGTGACACCGACCCAGGGGAAGCCCGCACCTGCCCCCAGGCATGCCTGCGCCTTCGGGGTCATCACGGAACAGGAGAAGGCAGCATGGCCCCTGCCTCGGCTCTCCCGCCCTCCGATGCATGCAGCTGTAATGCGCACGATGGATTATTCTTTCTGCTTGGCTGCAGGGACTTCTGGATCTACTTCCAAATATCTCTAGAAGCAACTTACTTGGGAAGGATGACTCAGCGCGCTGCAGAGAGCCTTGCTCCTCCGCACCCACCTGGACCTGCTGGTGGGAAGGTGGTGTGGGGTCAGGCCCAGGTGTGAGGAAATGGCTTTAAACCTGCAGCCCCGACTGGTGAGAAGTTCAAGTGCAGTGGATGAGAACATTCCCGATAGAAAGGAAGGCCACAAGGCTGTGGCTAGTTGCTGTTTTATGGACTATGATGCAAATCTGTGTGTGCTAGTTTGTGTGTGTTGAAATGTTTAGTTCTATGGTTATGGGAGGGAGTTTTGGAAATTGCTCACCATAGATGTCCTCTGGTCTATGCTCCCCACTTTACTGGTGGGGGATCCGGATTAGAGAGAGCAGATGATGTCCTGGGATTTCACTGCCTGGTAGCTGCTGACAGGGAATGAGAACCCAGAGACCCCCGCATTCCTGGCTGTTACCCTCAGGAGATGATGTGTGGTGGAGTTGGAGACATGTGCAAGCCTCTGAGCTCCCTGTACCTCCGTTTTCCCATCTTATAAAAAAGGATGTTGTGCTAGGGGTCCATCACTCAGATACCAGCTCAGCACTCCACGATCCTACATTCCTTCCTGTACACATTCTGGCTTTTCCATTTTCCATGTTTCTAAAACAAGTATTTGATTGATTCCTTAAAATCAAAGTGCCAGCTAGCATTACTTCTGTATGTATATTATTAAAAAAAGGATAATTTGTTGATCTGTTTCATAATGATCCATTGTATAGCAAGTCAAAAAGTTAAAACTTGCAGTGCACCCAATTAATTATGAAACTTTCAATTCAGGAAAAAACAAGTAATATTTGGGTTCCTTTCTTCCTGGAATGGAGATGTAAATATTTTGCCTGATACTCTTCAAGTTAGCATTATGCTAATAGCAGTGTAAAGTGTATCACATACACTTCACCTAAATAGGTGTATAATGTACACACCTTACACAGATAATAAAACATTCATAGCAACATGCTGATAGTCAATGCATGTTAAAAACAGTTTCACATGCAAGGCAGTCCTCAAACTCTTTTATTATGTTTTACTTCACATTTTATGACATCAGAGATTAATTGATACACACAGCATATTTTTGTAACTTGATCCAAGTGTAAAGAGATCAGAAGAGATTCTGTTAGTTCCCTTGGCCACCCACTTGAGAATTTTAACAGTTCTTCCCATCAGAAGGTCTCCTTTGTGTCCATCCCGCCTGAATTTATCAGGCTGCAGGACCATCTGGGCTCTCAGCAGCTGAAGCTAATTCCGTCCCGCTCACCTGGTGGGCTGCTCGGGATGAGGAGAGTCCTTGGAGTTGCCTTCAGAGGCAGGCCTGGGTACTGCGGGATCAGCTGCAGAAGATGCTGGGAAGGTCAGCCCTGGGTACTTGGGAACAGGGTCCTTTGGACAGGGAGCAGGGGACAAGGCATGCGGTTAAATACAGATTGGTAACTAAGCATTCAAGTGACTCTACATGAGCCTGGAAGGCAAGTGCTGTGTGACCTCAGGAAGGCCCTTTCCCACTCTGTTTTAACATTTGTAGGATGAGAACTTGGACTAGCGGCTTTCTAAGACTTATTCCGCTCTGGGTGGTCTAAGTTGGTTTTGTATGATCAGGAACGGCTGCTTGGCTAAAATCGCGTCTTCATTATCTCCTAGTGTCTCTGGCTGTATTTGTGCGAGATGGGATTTTTGTCAGTTGCAAATAAAAGGGACTGTGCATGAGATATAGTGGATGAAAACTCAAGGCACAGACAGGGCATATATTTATTCAGAGTGTCTATGACACGGAAGGGAGACAGCAATGATCACAACAGGCAGGCATGCCACACTGGCATGGAGAAATCGTTTCTGTGTGTGTGCTTAGAGCGCCTCCCGCAGGCCACACAGGAAATGCTCCCTTTAATTAATGCCTCGGGTGGGGAGGTCGACGTTCTGTTGTAGAGCCTGCGGACTTTATGAATTTTATACCACGTGCAGGTATTTCCATTAACACAGGTAAAATAGTTGTAAGAGAAGACGAGCAGGGCTGTGTGCGCCCACCTGTTCCATCAGTATTGTGCACCTCACCCCATTGGAGGCGGGGACAGTGGAAGGGGGCGGCCGCCTGTGGTGACCCAGAGTGGCCACGTGGTGGCAGTGTTTCACTGTGATGAGGCTGAGCAGCCCGGCTCGGTTTTAATGAGCTGGTCAGAGGCAAATTTCTGGGCTCCGCCCTTTAGGATCAGTTTATGGGCTCAAGCGAAGATGCAAAATAGGATACTGAGTGGAATATAATGGCTGTAGCAGTTACCCTCTGGCTCCCCCCTGTCTTCTTTCCTCTTAGAACGCCTCCCCGTTAAGAACTCCTTAGCCCCAGGCAGGGTTCAATATTGGGAGAAGGGATTTGAGAAGATGAGGCGGTGGTTGAGAGGGTCAGCGGGGGAGGGTGGTAGACAAAGAGCGAGGTGGCACCAACCAGGCAAGAGTGCCTGGGGTGGGGTGAGCCTCCCAGAACCTGAGGAAGCAGGGCTTTCACGGAGCGCCTGACTTTCCTCTCCCACCTGCGGGCCGGAGCCCCCAGGGCCCGCCCCTTCTCAGGGGCGCGGGGAAGGCAGCTTCTCTCACACAAGACTGGCAGAGCGCAAGGCTGTGAAAAGTGAGGGCAAGCCGTGGGGATGAGGACCCTGAGCAGCGTACAGCACCCTCCTCGGCCAAATTCCTCTTTGGTGAGACTTGGGGGCTGAGCCACTTGGGAGGTTCCAGGGCCACTGGGGAAATGAATCGAACACCCGATCCCAGGGCTCTGCCACGGCTCAGTCTGTTCTCTGGCCCAGGAGTCTGCGGGTTTCATAAGCTCCCGGGAGAACCCAGGGGGTCCTGGAGTCCCATGTCTAGGAAATGCTTTCTTTGGTTCCTCCCAGGGAGACATTGAGTGACCGAAGAAGTGAGGGTGCTGTGTGAAGCGCAGGGCCCTGGAATCCACTCATTGAAGCTGCCAAAGTAGGTCTGTAGTCATGTCCTCAAGATTTAGGACCTTCTTGGGCAAGTAAGCAGATCGTACACCTGCTGAGGCCTGCTTTTTTTCCCATCCAGATTTTCCCACGGACAGATCCGGGGTTCTCAGGAGGGCCTGTTGGCTGTCACTTCATAACCACGGGGTCTCAGCTTTAGATCTTAGATTCTTTTTGTTATGGAAAAAAATGTAAACATATACAAAAGTAAAGAGAATAGTATAAATTCTTATTTATCTATTACCTAGATTCAACAACTATTAAGATTTTGCTTTAGTTGTGTGACCTAATCATATTTTTTGTTGTTTTATTTTCATCTTCGATAAAATATCAAGCAAACTCCAAAAGTGCAGTCATTTCTCCCTTATATAGGGCATTTTCTCCATAATTTGCATGCCATTAACACATGTTAATAATAATTTCTAGGTATTATCAAATTCCTTGTCTGTACTCAAATTTCTTCAAAACTGTCTCAGAAATGTCTTTTTATATTTAGTCTGAAGTCTAGAGATTGGTGTTATCTCCTAGTATCAGCTAATATATGCAGGTGCGGAGATACACTGATGGGGCATTTAAAATAGAGCACAACTTCTTAGCCCCAAACACGCAGGCCCATTGAAGTAGAGATCCTCACAGGTTCAGGGTCAGAGGGGCTTTGGAGATCACTTGGTACCTGCCCTCCCCAAAATCAAGGAGATATTTGATGTATCTTCAACATGATAGGGACTGTTGTACATTTAGTGCCTCCTCACACTGTTCCGGGGTTCCCCAGTGGACACAGCGGAGATTTGGAATAGAGAAGCTCATTTAACTGTCTGACCCTGAGGGAATTCCTATTTTCTCTGAGGCCAAGACCTGTAGCAATGGAAGGTAGAGGAGAAGCTTGCTTAACACACATCCGTTTAACCATTTCTCCAGCTTGGCCCACTCTGTCCACTCCATGAGCTGCAGAGTGTCCATGGCCTGCAGGCTTGGCTGCAGACACTCACGGGGCTCCCGAGGGGGCATCCAGCTGCTGAGAGGCAGGCCTTCCCACACACGGTCACATTGTCCTCCAAACCTGTGCCAACTCTCCTTGATTTTAATGCTCATTTAATTTCACCAAAAATCAATGACATATGGATGTCAAAAAGAAAAAATGTTGTTCCTACCTTCTCTGAAACAGTTTAATGCAACATAAAGACTTGGAGCAGGCAAGTTGACAAAATATACCCCCTGCTGGCTTTACTGAGATATAATTGGTGTAGAACAGTGGGTAAGTTTAGGATGTACAACAAAATGATTTGATATGTGTATGTATTGTGGAATGATCACTACAATAAAATTTACATAGTTATAATTTTTTTTGTGATGAGAACTTTTAAGATCTACTTCTTAGCAAGTTTCAAATACACAATACAGTATTATTAATATAGTCACCATGCTGCTCATTACATCCCCAGAACTTATTCATCTTATTGCTGGAAGTTTGCATCCTTTGACTAACATCTCCCCATTTCCTGTATCTCTCTGGCCCTCTGGTAACCACTATTATATTCTATGCTTCTGTGAGTTTTCTTTTTTAGATTTCACATATAAGTGAGATCATATGGTATTTGTCTCTCTCTGTCTGACTTATTCTACTCAGCATAAGGCTCTCAAGGCTCATCCAAAGGCTCACCCTTCAAGCTTGTCACAAATGGCAAGATTTCTCTTTTTAATGGCTTCATAATATTCCTTCACATATATGTACCACCTTTTCTTTATCCATTCATATGTCAATTGACACAGGGTGTCTCCATGCCTTGGCTATTGTGAATAATGCAGCAATGAACATGGGGGTGCACATATCTCTTCAAGATGGTGATTTCACTTACTTTGTATTTATACCTGGAAATGAGATTACTGGATCACATGGTAAAAACTGGCTTTTGAATTATGTACAGATGAGATAGTTGTAAAATTATAAAAATATAATTATGAAATTATGTGAACCTGGAAAAAGTCCCCAATTCACATTGTTTCTTAAGAGAGTTAAAGTTCTTGCTCCACTTTTAAGAAATGAAAACTAGAAGTCATGATCAGCACACAGAGTTTATGAAAGGCCATCTGGATCCAGCCAGCAGCTCTCTTCCAAGCAAAACCTTGTGTGGGTCAACACTGGCTTTGAGGAATGAAAGAATGTTCATATGTATTAAATTGAAATTAAATGCTTAAAGTATATATTTATCATCTTTTGCAATTCCCTGCTTTGCTTTGTTTCAATGAACTACCCATCTACAGGTGGATAGTGTTGGATATAGCATTCTGTATTAATAATAAATACTTATCTCAGAGGAAGAATATGAAGAAGAAATGAGACTACACACATTTTCCAGGCCAGTGCCTGGCACACACCAGGTCCTCAATAAATACAAAGTCTCATTATCTTCTCTTTCCTTTTCAATGATAAGTCAACACAACTTTCCAAGACAGCTGATTCCATTTCCAAACAAACCTAGGTTGTGAGACGCTCTTCTAAAGCCTGCTTATAATTTCTCCCTGTAAGCTTTAGTTTTGTCTTCTGGGTGTGCCCAGAACCAAGGCAGTCTACGTGTCTTTGAAGAGGACCATCTTGTCTTTCCAAGAGCCTTTTCTTCTCTAGCCAGTCCTAGTTCTTTGTAACCGTCCTTGTATGATAAGTGTTTTCACTATTCCTCACTTATTACTTTATTCTTCTGCAGGCCTGCTCCACGTACCCCACGTTCTAGCCCAGATGAGTGTGCCATTCCCTGTGCTGTGCTGGGGAGCTGCTCCTCCACTTTGCTCTTATCCTGGACGTTCCCTTCCAGCAGGACCACCAGCCACTGCCTGGGTGTTTGGACTGTGCCAAATGTCGCTACTATAGGCCTTGCAGTCAACTAAAACTTATAAGTCTTTTTCTTCTAGATACTACTGTGAAGCCAGGCCTTTTCAATCCTGAAATTGTACATATGATTTTTTTTCAGCCTGTATGTAGGAATTCATTTGAAATATATTTCATCTTGTTTGTTTCAGCCTAGGTTTCTAGCTTGAGTCTTTTTCTTTTTTCTTTTTTAGGTATTTTGATGCAAGTCTTCAGCAATTGATTGTTTCCCCAGTCAAGCTGCTGGTAAATATATTGGACAGTGAAGGGATTGGAACACAGCCATGGAACACATTGTAAGAGGTCCTGTCTTCCCTCTAATTCATTTAGCACTCAATTCAACAAATATTTATTAAAATGTACATGATAGGTATTGTTCTAAATGCTGGAGATGCAGCAGTGGGCAAAACAAACAAAAATTCCATCTTTATGAAGCTTCCATGTTAGTGGACATCATTTTGGCTTGTAAGTTTACACTGATCATATATATGCCTTTGTCCTTATTTAATTAAGCTCACACTTATTCATAAGAATAATCTGTTGAGTGCTTGTTACGTGTTGAGCCTTGTTTCTGGTCTTCATGCATGTAATGTAGCAGGTGGGAGCTGATGTAAGACAGATATGTTCAGGTGTCTACCCACTGGATTGGCAAAAAGCTCATTATCACTCTGTTGGGGTCCTCTCTTCTTTCTCTATCCAAGAACCTTTTGTAACATTTTCATTCTAAAAGGAAATTTCTCCAAACTTTTCAAGTGGGGAGAACTAGTATTGGTCAACCCTTTGTAGTGACAGCCCTTTGTAGTAGCTATTTGTTGCCACTCAGGGGCGCCACTGAGTACAGAATGTCTACTGGCCCTGTGACCCTGTGGTACTTGAGTGACCTGGCCAGGTTGGTGCCCTTCAAAGGGAGGCAATTCTCACTCTGGGCTGCACTCAGCAGGTTGTCTGAAGCAGTCCATGAATGGCTCAGCAGACCTCTGGCATCTGAAACCCTGCCTTTCTTCAGTTCTGAGAACACTTTGGGGAGGTAGGTGGAAAGAAGGAGGAGCCTAGGGCTGAGATGTTTTTCCTTTGCAAGCCTCAAAATCTAAAAATGTATTCCATTCCCTTCTTGACATAATGTTAATTGATCAAAGCCTTCCCAGTACTCTTTCATCTAATGTGAAAAAAGAATTGGGCTGCTTCCTAAGGAAGGGGTTGGAGGACAAGGTGCTGATTTGGGGGTGCAGACCAGGGATTGCTCCCCATGCATGTGGCACGTTAGGGGTGGTGTTTGTGGCAGTAGTGAAGGGGGATGATGGAGATGGGGTGCTGGGGAAGAAGTTTCAAAACTTAATGTGTGAGTTGCCATCTCAGAGGCCACTTTAAATATCAGTGGAAAAAAAAGTAATCTCTGAGCTACCCCAAAACATATACATTACCTAATTTGACCCCCAGAATAACCCTTCAAGGTGGCATCACTGTAGCTGTTTCACAGATGAGGAAATAGGTTCAGCGAGGTGAAGTAAGGGAGGTGGGGCATCGGGCAGACTTCTTGCCTGAGGCACTTTCCAAACTGTAGGGCCCAAGTAGAGAGTGGCCCTTCGGAGAGCAGGACACCAAGATAGAAGGTCAAAGTTGCTAAGTCAGGCTGCTGGAACTTTCGGGTTTGGGCACCAGAAAGAAGGCAGCTGGAGAGAAATAGCCCCAGAAATCTGAGGGTTTCCTTTAGGTTCCTGGCCAAATCTTTAGCTGAATATGCACTGAATGAGACTCCGCAAAGTCAGCTGAGACCAGTTCTAGGGTACTGAGAGGTGAGTGATAACTTTAGAAGCTGGGGCATATTAGGGAGATGTTGGAGTTCTGATCCAGTCAAAGTAGAGCTGTTCACTTACATGAGACCCCAGAAATGCTCACCACAAGAGGAAGGACTATGTTCTAGGAAAATAGGATATGCCATGGGATTGAGAGTGAAGATGCCAGAGACCTGCCTTAACAAAGCCACAACCCAAGACTCAACAGGATCAAGATGACATGTCAGTAATTTATCTGCTTGTCAGAAGGAAGTGTCACTTCTTAGAGGAATAGAATGAAATTCAGTTTCTACAACATATCATTGGAAATGTTCAACCTATAATAAATGCAAGATAATGCAAAGGAAAAATATGTACACCTTCTTATGATCCGAAACCCCAAACTTTCTTTCAGTTGGCTCTTTTTCCTTGGGAGTGTTTTGGTTTGATTTAAATGATTAATAGAACATGGAATGTCTGGGCTTTAGCAGTAGGACTGGATTTCTTTAAAAAAAAATTAAGATATAATTGACATATAAGCTATTAGTTTCAGGTGTACAGCAAAATGATTCAATCTCTGTATACATTGGGGACTTATCACCACAGTAAGTCTCATTAACATCTGTCACCTTACATACTTACAAAATTTTTCTTTTCTTGTGATGAGACCTTTTAAGAATTATTCTCTTAGCAGCTTTCAGATATACAATACAGGATTATTAGCTACAGCCCCCATGCTATACATTACATCCCCATGACTTACTTATTTTATAACTGGAAATTGGTATCTTTTGACCCTTTTGACCCATTTCTCTCCCCTCCCGGGATTTGATTTCTGATTTAGAATCACAATTTGTTTGTTTCTGAATTCCTTTTAATATCTTGGCTCCTGTCTGTCCTGCCTGTTCATGGAAAAAAGAACTTGTACAGATTGATGTGCCTCCCTAACTAGACCTCAGCATTCTGTGATTCAGTTGAGAGATGACATTTTGAAACATATCTGAGATTCCTCTCTTTCTTCTTTAAAAATATTAATTGTCATTTTTTTTACCCCAGTAAGAAATTTTGGCAGATTGGGATGGAGTAGTGGAGGCAATACATGACAGGGAATTTTTATGTATTTGGAAGAATAGCCTAGATTTCACTGAACATCTGAATATCTGGATGATGGATAATAAAATAGGAAGGACTGTAAAATCTGAGCAACTATTATAAGATCTTCAGAAGAAATATCTTCTAGCTTTTTAATATATGACAAGAAGTTATAAGCATTTTCCCTAGACAGCTTCATCTTGTGTTGCATACATGACGAATTCAGTTGTTGCCCATAAAAACTGGTTTTTAAACCTTTCTATTGTGTAAGAAACCTGAAGAAGTACAAGGAAAATGTTTTTCAGTTCTGTCTTTAGATACAGTTAGTTGATCAGTTAGCATTTTTAGTAAAAACGGTTGTTAATAAAGTTTTTCCTTTCCCTAAAATTAAAATTGCTCTCTAATCAGGAAGGAAGCAGTGGTTTCTGCTGGAGACCTTTTCATTCTGGTTGCTGTGGGACTTGGGGAGATTTACTGTTCCTGAAATAAGCACATTTATTCCATGAGGGAATAAAATCAATGTTATTAATTATTTTAAGACAGAAAACATCTTGAATCATGAAACCTTTAATTCATGGGTCTTAATCTTTCTCCTGGTTTCTAATGGCTGATAACTCATCCTGCAGAATTATGCCTCTGTGCCTTTGGAATGCTCTGTAATTAATTAATAATTTATGCTGGGTGAAGTGATATGTAGAACAGCGACGGGCATTCATTCCATGTTGGGATGGCTTTGGCTGTTTAAATGGTGAGGGAGGGTTTCCTGGTGGAGAGACTCTGGGGAGAGTGTGGCCCCGAGGCTGAAGGGCGAAGGCTCACAGGGGTGGACATGTGGGGGCTGCATCTCACAGCTGCCGGTTTGACCAGATCTCTTACACATCAGTCAGATGGTAATTTGCAGACCCCGACCATCCTTCTCTGGGTTGTGTGGACTCCAACAGGTTTCATAATTCGAATCTTTGAGAAAAGGTCTCTATTTGGATATGGGAACATTAGTATGCATTTGGGAAATAGATTTGCAACCCATGAGCAGGACTAATGAGCTTTTCTGTTCTTCTGATTCTTGGACCACTTCCATTTTAGTTCAGTAGATGAGGAATTTTTTAATGAGTTATGTGATATTTACTGAAGGTTGTGATTTTGGCAACTGCTAAATAGAAAAAAAAATTCCTCCTCCCTTACCCATCTTATTATTTGGACAGTGTTCTCAAATTATTTGCCAGGACCAGTGACACAACTGCCTTCTTGAGACAGGCTTCTGACACACTGGCCCAGATTTCCATGGCCACCAGCCAGCTTTGTGGTTAGTCTCCTCCACAGAAGCAGCAGCCTCTCAGATGGAAGAGCATTGTTCTAGAAAGGAGTGTGTAAAGATGTGGGTCAGCCAGAAGGTCACTCAGCCTAAATTCCTTAAATGGAGGGTGGTATTTTTTAGATACCAAAGTGGTTTCATTGCTTTATCAAAAATTGTGATGCTCATTAAAAATTCTATGTAATACAACAAATAACAAAAAAGATAATAAAAACCAAACCCCAAACACTCCATACCCCCCAAATCCCACCATCTATGAGCAGAGGTAACCAAGCTTTGTGCAAAATGTCTAGATAGTATTAACTATCTGTGTTTGGAAGCCCAAGGTCCTTCGTCACCACAGGTGACATTTGCAGTTGTAGCTGGAAAGCAGCCATTACGTGATATGTAAATGAAAAGGTGTGACTGTGTTTCCATAAAACTTTATTTACGGCCAGATTTGGCTGCAGGCTGTAGTTTGCTAACCCCTGAGCTCATTTATATTAGGGACGCATCACTTCCCAAATCTTTTTTTTTTTTTTTTTACCTTCTTGCATGTGTCTTTGGGAATGAATATATCCATGGAGGAAAAAAGACAGAGCTAGGTTTATAAAAATGAAAGCTGTATTTAAAAATACATTAAGTTCAATTTTACTTGAATTTAACAGAAGAAATGAACTGAAACGAGACTGTAGGAACTACTGAACTTTAGACTCATGTTTCTTTACCACAGTGGCAACAGTTCCTAAATAGTTCCTCTGAAATTCAGGGGAGGAAAGATGATGAAAATGTGGGTCCTTTTGCTTTTGAAAGGCCAGTTTTCAATTTTGGATGGAGCAGTTGACTTCCTTCTCTGACAGATGAAGAAAAGCATGCTTCCACTTCTACTGCCTCCTGAATTCTCATTACTCATTTGATTGTTTTTAAATTGTAGAAGCTGATGATTTACATTCTGTTATGTAACCATGATTACCTTTGGGTCCTTTTCCTGGGTCACACTTTCATATGAGTGTTATGCAGCTTCTTCATTCATCCATTGACTGCTTGTATTTTGTGGTAAAGAATCTCACTTTCTCCTTCCCCCAGTAACGTGCAGGTGCTACATTCTTTCCTGTTGGGGAATGTTCATCTTGTATTCCTGCTGGAGG